GGTCAGAGGAACAGGTCAGAGGAACAGGTCAGAGGAACAGGTCAGAGGAACAGGTCAGAGGAACAGGCCAGAGGAACAGGCCAGAGGAACAGGTCAGAGGAACAGGTCAGAGGAACAGGTCAGAGGAACAGGTCAGAGGAACAGGTCAGAGGAACAGTCAGAGAACAGGTCAGAGGAACAGGTCAAGAAACTGTCAGACAAATACATGCACATAAAAATTGTTCCAAGAATTTGGTCCTAGTTACCGTAAACAAGTTTTAAAGGTAATAGGAAGGAAAAAACAAAAATAAAAATTTTCACTCCTTTTGGTGATTCTTAATTACTGACCAATCAACTTATACTAAATTGTGGGAAATTTAATAGAATCAGTAACTGGAGATGCATTTGACAGTCACTTCAAAAGATTGAATTTGATCAATGAGTCTCAACCTCAGCTCTACAAAGTGACATTCATGTCTTACATATTTGCTATTTATGTTCACTAAAGGAACTGGCAATGGGTATGATAATGTTTATGAGGAGACAATACTGAAGGAAGAAGTGCACGAAATTATCTCCAGAATCATAAAAAAGGCAAACAAGAGAGTTCATAAATGGTGCTCAACAGGGGTGAATATTGGCCCCTTGTTGTTCACAATCTATTCTACATGAACGACATAAATATGGTAATAATAACGAAATATGCCAGTTTCCCGGGGCACTATAATAGGCGCCAAATTATTGAAATAAGAAAATAGAGGCCTCCAGAAGGTTGTGGATAGTGTGATGTAAGGAAAGCAAAGTGCCATGGTTAGTGTGCACACATCTAGGCTTCCTAACCAGAACAAAAGAAAATAACTCGTCCTTTAAAACTGTACATCTTATTCAAACGCTTATAAGTTTTGGCTAGAAGAAACCTGAATCTAAGCATCGTTTACAAGTTTCTGCAGTAAAACTTCGAAAAGAGTTCCTCAGAAGTTCCCAGGACTCGTGAAATCGTAATAAAATATTTTCAAACATATCACAGAATGGGCGAAGTTCGAACCCACTGGAGTCTACCCGGAGACGTTCTAAGGGGCAACGCCTCCGTAGCCAGGCCTCCCAGTGGATCAGGGGCTGATCAACCACGCTGTTAATGATGGCCACACGCAATCCAACGTACAAAACCACAGCCCGGATGGTCAGGCACTGACTGAGCCATAGGTTTATTGGTAATTTCTGGGGTTAAAAACGTTCAACAGCCATGGGGGGCTTTCGAACAGTTTTTAATCCCGGAAAAACTTATATATTTCTCTTAATGTTCTAACGGCATCACTGCTTTTATTGGGGGGGGGGGAGGGGTGAAAGTGGCAAACATCTGGGTAGTCTTTTGCTTTCGTTGGGTTATTTGTGCACAATATCTCTTCTTGCTTCCATTAATTCTGTCTTAAGCTGGAGATATAGCTGCTGATAGTCGAGGGACGCCATCATCACAATCTCAGGTAGCTAAGAACGAGGAGTTCACTAAAACAAGTCTTCACTCAGCGAAGTACAGTCACCACCACCCTAAAGATATTTGAGCCATATTATTCATGCACTTCGGTCATCTCTATTCGATCTCATTTCTTAATTTGGAATAAACGTCTTTTGGGCAGCATATAATTTGCTGCCAATCCACAGATTATAAGTTGTTTTTCTAAGCCCATTGTAATTTGCTAAGCGAAAATCTTGGACTATTGCTGAGTTATCCCTACTATCATACTTCCATTCAGTGCTAAAATGTAATTGATTTTGTGGTCGCTTGTTCCGGGTTTCCTCTCTAATTTCTAAATTATTAACAAGGGTTCTTTGTTTGCCAGAACCAAGTCAAGCAGGTTATTTCCACTTGTATGTTCTGTCACAAACTGCTTCAAAAAACAATCCTGAACTACTCTAAGAAGTCGTTAGAGCCTAAATTCCCAGTCAAGGAATTCCAATCAATGTGACTAAAGTTAAAGTCCTCTAGAATTACTACGTTATCGTGCCTTGTGGCCTTAACAATTTCCTCCCAAAGTAGTCTTCCTTGGTCTCTAAGTTTGGGGGACGGTATACCATGCCTAAAATCAATTTTTCATGCCCCTCTGAAAATTCTATTCAGACAGACTCTCCATGTCTTATTTCAGACTTTATACCCGTTTTTATCAACAGTTCAAGCTAACTCAGACATACAGTGCCACCCCACCCACCTACCAGATACTTTTGTCTACTTGGAACACTTTAAAACCCTGAATGTGACATTCAGCAGGCATGTCCCGATTTTTCGTATTAAACCACGTCTCAGTTATGGCAAATGTATCAATGTTATCCGCACTTGCAACTAATCTCAACACGTCTATTTTATTTCTAGCACAACGGCTATTAGTGTAGTATAAATTTAAAGACCCTTCTTTCTCTTTTCCCTTCCTGCTCATTTCTCCTTTTTCCACTATACCTATTATTGTCCTTGTCACCTAGTGCCAACTGCCTTTCCCATATCCATTTACATTCTGCCTATTACTGGTTCCCCTAAAACTCACAATGCTACTACACTGGGACTTCACTGTTTTCCCCCCAAAACCCATTCCACTAACTATTTCTAATTCAAAGCGCTAGCAGCTCCCTCCACTGCAGTGGCCAGTGCTACCACCCCAGACCCAGGTAAGTGAACCCCATCCCTGGCATACATGTCATTTCTGTAATGGAAGAGGTCCCAGTTGTCAATGAATGTTACTACATTTTCCTTATAGTGTTTGTCCAGCCAGCAACTGACACCAATTGCCCTGGACAACCGTTCATTTCCAATTCCTCTCTTTGGCAAAATACCACATATGATAGGGTTCCTTCCCATCTTCCTAATTATCTCTATTGCTAACCTATACCTGCTAATCAAGTCCTCACTCCTATGTCTGCCAACATCGTTGCCTCCAGCACATAGAGACAATAGGATTGCTCCCATTACATCTCATGATATTCAGACAGCTAACTACATCCTTCATCCCAGCCCAAAGAAAACATACTCAGTGCCTCCTCTTCCTATTTCTAAGACAAAAGCCCTGTCCATAAACTGTCCCCAATTAAAACAATGTTCTTACCTTGACTGGCGGTGTGCATGACGTTCTCAACAGTCTTAGTAAATGTCTTTGCTGGGATGTTATCACTAGCTGGCTTCACTGTGTCCTTAACAATTATCCTTGTTGGAACTGTCTTCGTTGTAAGATCATGGATGGTCGATTCATATTCGTCTGATAACAAGGAAAAAGAGTTGCTGGTTTTCACAGCAGTCTCCTGAACCTTCTTCATCTTCACTAGTTCCTTCAGGTCCGACAAGTTCCTTTCTATTAATGTGGCTTTTCAAATGGGCCAAGTAGGACCAAAACGTTGTCGTAAGCTTCTCTTTCCTATGTGAGGGTTGCTTGTGTGTTGTTTCAGTCACGGTATTAAAACCGCTAGAGAAAGTGGCAGCTCATGGCACTGGGGAAAAAGTGTTGTCATGGATCGAGTCATGGCTCACCAACAGGAAGCAGAGAGTGTACATAAACGGGGTAAAATCTGTAACAAATGATGTTCCACAGGGATATGTTTTAGGCCCATTGTTGTTTATAATATATATCAATGGCTTTGACGAATGAATTACTAGTGATATGAGTAAATTCACTGATGACACGAAGATAGGTAGGATAATCAATTCAGACGTAGATGTCACGGATCTTCAGGAGGATTTAGTCAAACTCAGTCGTGGTCAAAAAAGTGGCAGATGCAGTTCAGTGTAGATAAATGCAAAGTTTTGAAGTTCAGGAATGTTCATAACCCTAGCACTTATCAGCTAAATAATGTAGAACTTAGCAGTACAGAATACGAAAAGGACTTGGGGGTTATGGTAAACAGCAACCTTAAACCAAGACAACAATGCCTAGGCGTACGTAATAAGACAAACATATTACTGGGATTTATATCAAGAAGTGTAAGCAACAGAAGTCCAGAGGTTATACTGCAGCTTTATATATCATTAGTAAGGCCTCACCGAGATTATGCAGCTCAGTTCTGGTCTCCATATTATAGAATGGATATAAATTCATTAGAAAACATTCAGCGTAGGATGACTAAATTAATACATAGCATTAGAAATCTTCCTTATGAAGAAAGATTGAAGACTCTTAAATTACATTCTCTTGTTAGACGAAGAATGAGGGGAGACATGATCGAAGTGTATAACTGGAAGATAGATATTAATAAAGTGGATATTAACAAGGTCTTGAGGATATCTCTCCATGAGAGAACCCGCAGTAATGGATTCAAATTAGACAAGTTTATATTTAGAAAGGACATAGGAAAGTATTGGTTTGGAAATAGGGTAGTTGATGAGTGGAACAGCTTACCTAGTTGGGTTATTGAGGCTAAAACCTTGGGTAGTTTCATATTTAGGTTGAAGAAATACATGAGTGAGAGGGGTTGGATTTGAGTGGGACTTGCACATGAGTAAATAGAATTATCAAAGCTTAATGCTTAGGTAGCGATGAAAATGGGTTGGGCAAATATTATTTTAGTGGGATGGATTTATGTAGGAACTGCCTAGTATGGGCCAACAGGCCTGCTGCAGTGTTCCTCCTTGCATAAGAACATCAGAAAGGAGGAACACTGCAGCAGGCCTGTTGGCCCATACTAGGCAAGTTCTTCACATGTTAATAAAAAATTATTTCAATAATAGTAGCAACAATAATAATAATCATGGAAAGAACAATAATGACGTTAATAATATGGGTCTTGTTATTTAGAGAAACTTGTGTTATTTAACCGTCAGAAAATCCACGCTAAGAAAATCCAACTTGTGTTATTGACAACTTGTGTAATTTGACGGTAAAAAAAAATCCACGCTAAGATTTTTGAAGGGTAAAATTATCTATGCACATATTCATGATTTATTCGACAGAATTAAAATTTTATACAATGGTTTCAAGAGAAACATTATTTTTGTAGAACTGCAATGATAATAAATGTTAACTCAAACGTTGTTTACATTTTCTCAGGTGTTGATTGAGACTCTTCTGGCCAGCAGAAACTCCTGAGCAAACAGCATCCCGATGTTCATATTTCGGAAGTTCTTCAGGAACTGTTTTTCCAGCGCTGCTTTTATGGTCTTCGTTAATTATCTTACTATTAGGACTGAAGGAGAGACTTGTTAGTTATCTCTGTATTAGGACTGAAATAGAGACTTGTTAGTTATCTCTGTATTAGGCTGAAATAGAGACTTGTTAGTTATCTCTGTATTAGGACTGAAGGAGAGACTTGTTAGTTATCTCTGTATTAGGACTGAAATAGAGACTTGTTAGTTATCTCTGTATTAGGACTGAAGGAGAGACTTGTTAGTTATCTCTGTATTAGGACTGAAGGGGAGGGCTTGTTAGTTATCTCTGTATAGGACTGAAGGAGAGACTTGTTAGTTATCTCTGTATTAGGACTGAAGGAGAGACTTGTTAGTTATCTGTATTAGGAAATGAAGAGAGACTTGTTAGTTATCTCTGTAAATTAGGACTGAGAAGAGACTTGTGTCAAAAGGTTTCCAGTAATAAATTTCCTGAACTATACATAAGTGTTTTTTTTGACATCTGGTCGGAATCATCAGACCATTTTTCAGTCATCTGGTTATCCAAGGATAAATCTAGTTAATGTTCTTTGATGTGCCTATAATATATGTTTACCTATGAACAGGGTATACAGGTCTAGTTGATATCAGTGACATACTATATATATAAAAACCCCTTGTTATGTTGTGCATTTCCCGTAAATTAGGTCAGTTTTGTCCCAGGATGCGACCCACACTAGTCCACTAACACCCAGGTACCCATTTTGAACTGATAGGTGAACAGGGACAGGGACAGCAGGTGCCTTATGGAAACACATCCCTTATGTTTTCCAATCGTACTGGAGGAGATTCGAACCCGGAGTTCATGTGCGAGGTGAGTGCGTTAGCGATCGAGCTCGGGACACCTTCCAGGCAATTGTTAACAAAAAAAATCATATTCTTCAAAGTAATTTAGGTCTTGTACTTTATTAATCTTTTGTACACCAATGCAAACTCTTTTAGGAAATGAATTTTGATTATTAAACCATTGGGATAATTTTTTTTTTTTTTTTTTTTTCTCTTTCCCCTTTGTGAAACTTGACAGATACTCAGAGTTATTATGTGTGTGCAATCTTTAAAATGAGTTAGTTGCCTGGTCTGCAACTGTACAATTAATATCTTGTAGACCTAGTCCTATATTTCCTCCAGACCCAAAATAACCCTAGTGAATATTTGGTTTAAGAACATTCAAATTGTTTTACAGCTTAATATTATATTCTGTACCATGGCACTCAAATAACCAGTCTGATTCCTTCAGATTTATAATTGATTATACTTGAGAGTGCTCTAAACAGTTGTATAAACCTTGGTAAATGTGATCGGAGTATTTTATTAAAAAAATAAATAAAAAAAATAGTTCATCACTAGAAAAAATCCAACCTACTCTCTTACGTACATTAATTTACCATAAAGTGACTTTGCAATTTCAAACAAGTCACTGCTTCCTTGAAAAGAGTCAATTAACCAAACATTGGGAAAGTCTTGTATGAGAAAGAGCAACTCCTCTTTACTACGCTGTACCTTTGAGGTAAAAAAATTTAGTTCCAACAACACCAGCTATGTCCCTCGCCTGTCTCCTGTCATGCACATCTGCCTTAACAATTGAACCAAAACTCCTCCCAGTTTCTCCCAGGATTTAAACAAACAGGTAAACATAATTCTGGGAGTATTGGCAAAGACATATTTTTTTTAGTAGGAGCAACAAATATAACTAACTGCCTGATTACAACACATTTTAAAATTAATCAAGGCCTGGACTTTTAAAATTACAAGAAAGAATGTTTTTTCCTTTTCCCTTCCCCTTCCCACTAATTTCAAAATACTGATAAAAAAATCATGAGATTCTACTTCATGAGTCTCATCTAAACACAGTTTTACATACCAATCATCTCCTTCATATTTGTTGATAAATATAATTATAATGAAAAATCCAATATCTATAACCTAACGCATCTAAAATACAATTTTAATAACATCCAGTATTTCAACAGTTTTCTTCTTTCTTTGATTCCATTAATTCCAAACAATAATTGAATAAGCTTTTGTTATTACAACATGAACCTTTTCTCTAGCTTGCAGTGATGCTTTTTTTTTTTTTTTTTTTTTTTTTGCTGCTATATTTCCATATGATTTTAGTCTTCTACATTAATTTCTTTCTACTTTATCAATTTACCCAGCCACGATGCAATGTATTAAATTCAAACCCAATTAATAAAATAAATCCTTGATTCCTGCCAGAATTTGGCATAAGCAAAATTTCTTATACACAATATATAATCTTAGAGAAAAACACTTTTTGTTCCTTATCAAATATACACATACACTGATATAAAATCTTGGCAAATGCTTAGTTTATTCAAAGTTGCGATTGGAAGTGATGTAGAACACATCAATTAATTTTACTCAATTAAATGACTACTCTACTACATAATTCCATTTCCCCTAGAAAACCATTAAGGGCCACATCAGAAAATCGTTGGTTGGGTGAAACTGAAAATTGTCCCTGCATTCTTTTAATTTTTCTCATGATGTCCTTATCCATAAGGTGTAGGCCATATATCATGCAAAACAAAATAAAAAACATAATGATTAGTTTAGTAGTTAGAAAATGGTAATATAAATAACCATTGACATTGTTTCTTGGACTACGGGTAGTATGAATTATCCAGTTTAAGAAGTAAAAGAAGTTATAAAATAATTGCAAGATATTACAAGGAGGAAGAATAAGTAGTTAAGTTAAAAAAAATACGTAGCCCCAAACCCTACTACCTAAAAACCTAAATCTATGGTAAAAGTTCTGTATATAAATGATTGACATCCCATTCTGTAAATAGTTTTGAATTTTTATAGATAGCGCAAGCAGAGCCAGAGGAAACAAATGTGGGCTACAAAGAAAAGGGGGTAACAAAGGGCCAAATCCCCTCAATTGAACAGAAAAGAAAAATATTTAATAATATTAAAAAAAAATTTAATACTAATAATTAGAATTGATAATGAAAAATATGTATTTGCATGAATTACAGACAGTGATACATCCTCATTATGGCATCTCGTGAACGAGAAGTTGGAAACGTTCTCCTTCTTAACTTAGCGAGTGATTCCAACAGAAAAGAAAAGAAGAGCAAATTCAAGAAGAATGAACAGAAAAAAAGAAAATGTAGAAGCTGCAGAAAGATCACAGACATGCTCACGAAAAACAGTTACTGATGTTACCAGTACAGTTGAATCCGCAGAAACGTCAGATCATACATGAAGCCCTCACTCCACCATAATTCTTTCCTTTACTTTCCAGCCAGCATCTAAACTTCTCACAGGAGCTGCATTTTAGCCAGTTGGTAATTCGTGCACGAGAAAAAAAGGCTTATATTTGAATTCTCATATTGGAAAATCAAACTGAAAAAGAGCGTATTTTATTGGAGAAAAGTTAATAGAAAAGAGTGTTGCTGTTTGTAAAAAATCCTTAGCTCTAAGAGGACTTGCTTTTTTTCCCGGTGGAGAAAAAGAGGTTTTAGGTTCGGAAAACAATGGCAGTATTTCCTAGGGAACAAAGAAAACGTTAGCACAATTTCGATCCAATCCTTAGCAAACATGTGTCATACGACGGCTTGGGATTGCAGGAAGAGGCACTGTAATCTTACAGTCCATCTAACTATAATGCAGCCAAAAAGAATTTATTGAAAACGTTATTTGAACAGATGACTAAGAGGAGAAGGTCCTACACTCCAATACAACATCATCTGCAAGCAGGAGCAGGCTGCCAAAAAGCAGGGCCAGTCTAGAAAAAAACTCAAAATATACTTTAGCAATAAGTGTAGATATTCCAAACACCAGAACACATATCACATACAGTACAAAAGACAATCATTGTTTGCTTTGATCGACTCCAGAGGTAGACTGTAGAGCGCTTTAAAGAAAATTCATTCCTCTTTTCAGGCCATGATAGAGAAACAATTATGAATGAAGTACTGGATACTCTGCCTTGAACAAAAATCTCTCTCTATTAGGATTGCCGTTGCCAGAGCTAGAAAAAAACGACAATGCAAGTACATGGGTCCCGCAGGGAAAATATAATGGATAGCAAAAGCATGTATAACAATCCAACCACACATTGCAGAAATAATTGCCCAGCTCAGAGAGCATAGGCAATTCATTCTCTTAATCTTGTTGGTCCAAAAATGCTGCGGAGTGGTTGTTTCCCGCGGGAAGTTCCTAAATTTTGATGACTTTTTATATAACAAACACATCTTCTCTCTTATAATTTTTACTCTCTGCTTCAAAAAAACGCATCGGTGGAGTATACACTCAAGGAAGTCCAACCATTCATGGAGATGTCATACAAAATCATTATCAACAACAATGTGGGTTCAGCGCAGCATGATGTGACACACAATGCTTGAAAGACAGCTTTTTTGCTGAAAATAATACGGTTTCTGCTTTGATCCAAATAATAGCAGAGGATGAAGACCAGAACAAGCAACTACACAAGAAAGGCGAAAGAAGCAGAAGAGCAAGAAAAAAGCAGGCCCTGCCTTTTTATTACTTAGAAGCTCTTAGAAGCATCAAAATAAAATTTTATATGTTAGCATCAAAAATTGGAAGAAAAGATATTGAAATTGAATTTTTGGCCTTACTTCTGTGTGCAATTAAACATACTTACTAAAGGGTGGTGTGGCCTTACTCTGAGTGGCTTGGGACTGTATACATATAACATAAACTGAAAAACGAGTTTTAAAAAAAAAAATTTGAAAAATAAAAAAAAAAAAAAAAACGGGTTAAAAAAAAAAAATAAAAAAAAAAATTGCCACGAACAAAGAAAACCTAGTGAAGGGAAAGGAAAAAAAGCAGAATGTACACAACAGAAACTTAACATATTTCAGCAGAAACATGGAATATAAAAAACAAAGAACCGTAAAAAGAAAGAAACGAAGGAAAAACAAAAGAACAAAAAAAAAAAATCCTACAATCCGCGCCACCCCAACCTTCACCAATCCCCCTCCCAAATACCCCCATGTCACCCATACCAAACATATCCTCAATATCACCCAAACCACACACTGCCTTCAACGAGGCCATATGTACCGCACACAACCCCACCGAGGCAAATACAGCTAAAAGAATGTTAAAGGAAGAGAATAGCTAAACT